TTATTGGTTTATTGTAAGTGGCTATTGTTCGGGACGGACAAGACTAAGGAGGGGCAGTGTTGCGTCAGCGAGGTTACGTGACTAGTGTCACGCCACTTCTTTCTCGAACCTTCCTAGATTGGGGGGTAGAGTGATGGTGACAGCGTGGCGGGACATTGTGTAGGTAGTGAGTAATTGATCTGCAGTCAGGGAGTATTGTTGAAGTTAACGTTCGTTGTTAGAGCGTTTGTTTTAGCGCGAATGTTGAAATTAAGTGTACCGTAAAGTTATGTTATGAAAGAATAAACCAGTTTTATTAAGTAAGGAGTTGTGTCGCTAAAGTTTAGTCGGAACGAAGTTACGGAAAATTAATTAACAAACGGAGACGTAACAGTAACAATTAGAGAACGAATTTACTGTCTGTTGCGAATGCATATACGTACCTTGGTGGTACCTGATCATATATGCAAACATGTATCCAACACAGTTTTCAGTAGGAAAATTACACAGCTAATAAAATTGTCCTCCTCTTAAATACTATAATTTGATTGGCATTTATCTTATCGATAATAGTTTATCTATTGCATTTACCAGTTCTTGTTGTAACGTTTCTTTATTATACTTTAGAGTATACTATATTTATTGTGTGTGTGTTAGATTGTTTTAAGTAAACATCATATTGCAAAATAATTGCTTAACCTAAGCTATTGCTTGTTTTTGTGGGAAATAACAAGACTAAAAATTTTCACTTAATAAAACTCGACTACCGTCGTTAGATTTTTGTTCTTAACAAAGGTTTACCCACAAATGTTTGCTTTAGGCTTACTTGAGGTCCGCCGGGGTTATAAACACACCCTGGTCATTAACTCACTTAAGCTGCCCTCGGGGAATTATTCGTCACTCTGTCTTTCGACGGCGACTACTTCTTCCCCTCGGTGCATTTTATCTGAAAATTAACTATATATATATGGTTAGAAACAACGTTGATCGTGATTATAGTTAAAATTCTAAAACTTTTTTGTTCTATGGGTTTCTCTATGGGTTCAAGGATTTCCCTCGGGACGTCCCCTACTTTTCTCTAGAGAAAACCCCTGCTTCGCGGATCTTGATGTTCGTGGCCTCTCGAGGCTGTCGAAACAAAGATACTACGCTCGGCATACTTTAAACTTTTTTACCCTATTTGGAATAAAAGATGTTACTTACCCAAATAGGTGAGGTTTGAGATGTCTCTCCACTTCTTTCACTATTGTTGTAGAGGAAACTGGAAAGGAAAGTTATTAGAAAATACAGATAAAACACTTAACACTTGCACAAAGATGTAGATCACCCGGTAATTAGCGGTAGGTAAAGTTACTGTATCACTTTCGGTCCATTTCCAAAGAAAGGCACAGAACCTGAGTTCATTAGCGGGCGAAACACGAATAACACACACTGTATCAGAGTCCGACCCTCCAGTCCCCAAACTGGCCTTCCGCCTTTCATCTCACCTAGCATCGCAGGATACTGTGTTGTGTCTCCATGGGTACTGTTCACGGGTAGCTGGGAGAAAGCACTATCAAAACTTTAGATCGATTGCCGATGAGCTGGAAAATACATGAATCTTGGGGGATCCACTTCTTTTCGAAAATCTTCCTGATGTTGACTGGATCTTATTCGCGCCCGGACCGTCATTCGTACTTTCTTTACGATTTCGGAAATGTCGGTTCGGGAGCGCTGGAAGATGGCTCTACATCTGGCGGCCCAGATTTGTGCTTTAAATTCTCCTAGTAAGTATAGGAAAGAGAAAACACGAGGTTTAGTGACAGGTATAGGATGACAGAAAAGAACCGTTGTATGTGCTATATACTTTAACTTAAAGATATGGGCAAACTTGCGCCAGGTGGCCGCCGCTGTTACGCAGTCGTACATCGTGTGTTTAACTGTTTCTATGTTTTGACATGATGGGCAGATTTTTGTATTTGTTATCTGAAAGGAACCGAGTCGGCTCCTTACTGGTATTATTTCATGGGCTATTTTCCAGGACAGATCTCTCCTTCAGGCTTCCAGCCTTCGGGAGTTTACTCTGTCCCATGGAATGTTGGGGTAATTTCTTTCTACTTTGGGTGTTGTTTCTGATTGTAAAGCTTTATATATTTCTCGGGTTTTCATTTGTGTAACTTTTTTTCCTGTGTTCTCCCTGACTAGCGGGAGTACTGTTTTTAGGTGGAATTGTAAATAGAAGGGGGGTTCTGACATTTTTACTGATTGATCTGGGGAGTGCTTGAAGTGTCTATTGTGTATACCAAGGAGAAAACTTTGGAAGTTTGCTCCCGGGTGTTCGGTTTCTAATATATTACAGGTTGTTTTAGTCCAGAGTGCTGTTATAAATGTTCGTAGGTCTGGTAGCCCCAGACCCCCTTGTTCTATTGGTAGGTTTATCGTGTCTCTTTTTAATAGTTCTGATTTACCTGACCATATGAATTTGTATATTTTGTAATTTATAACTTTTAGGTGTTTTTCTGTAGGCGGGTATACTTGTCCTGTGTAGGCTAGCTTCGGGTATATCATCTGTTTGATACCCTGGGATTTTGCTACGAAAGACAGATCTCTGTCTTTCCACCGGTTAAGGGTTTCATCTATTTTGTGTATTAATATTCTCCAGTTATAATTGGTGACGGCTCCGGGGCCGTACCACACTCCTAGTATTTTAATTTGATCTGTTGTCCATTTAACATTTAATATGCTGTTTGTTTGGGTTTTGCTTTTT